TTTTTTTGCTGCTTGGGGCAGCAAAAAAGTTAGAGCCGGCCCTGATTTCAGCACTGGATTTCCCATTAAAGAACTGGGAGCAGCAATTCCTCCGGCAGTGCTGTGAATCCCAGGCTGCACTCTGCATCCTGCGATGTTCAGATGAGTCCACAGCAGCCCTAACGCTAAACTGCCTGGGTTTGAAATGTAGAGCACCAAACTGGTGTGGAAGGTATGTACCGGGAGGCCATATCTTCGGTAGTGGCTGTATTTAACTGTGCCCACAAGTGTTTTCTCCTGATATATACACATAAAAGCGCAAAATTAAGACCACACAATCAAGTTTAATTTTTGCATTTCTTGGCTTCTGAATGCTTCATTCCATAACGCTAACACTCTCTGAACATATGTTTTGTATGGAATTTCTTCAGATTGTTGTTGTTTTTAAACCCTAAGACACATGTGCAAACAGAAAAAGATTAAAGGGATCCAAGCAAATCCAGCCAGTAAGAGTGACAGTACAGGAAGCGTATCTCCCTATGTAACAATCATGCAACTTAGTCCTACCCTCACCCCTGGCAAGGAAGCTGCTTGGGGCTGGGCCTAGACCAAATGGCACCCCAGGTGAGGAGCATCTTTGTGCCCCCTCCCATGTGTTAAACTTTTCAATACCTTATTTTTTATTACATTTGTAGCCCATTTCATGACTTTGATGCATGATCTACATGCATGATTTATCTCTGTCATATAAGATAATACATTTGCACATTAGGATCTGTAAATCTGTATTCATGCCATATATAAGTAAGGCTGCGAGCCTCTCATGGAGGTCGCAGAAGTTACAGATTCCGTGACTTTCTGCGACCTCTGTGATTTCCGCAGCTGCAGCAGCCAGTGCAGCTGACCCCAGAGCCACTCCAGCAGCTGGCCAAGCCCAGCCGTACCAGCCACGTCAGCCATTGCTGGACCAGCCCAAGGGCCAGCCACTTGGGTGCCAGCCACACCGGCCACTGCTGGAGTGGCCCCAGGGCCAGTCGCTCGGGCAGCCCTGGGGCCAGTTGCACTGGCCACTGTTCAGGTGACCCCGGGCAGCTGGCCCCGGGGACAGCCCAGGCAGCAGTCCCAGGGCAGCCCTGGAGACCACCAGAGCAGCAGTGGTCCCAGGGGCGGCTGGAGGCAGTCAGCCCCCACTACAGGAGCAGCAGTGCCCCGGGGGCCCCCAATAGGGGTGGAGCCTCAACCTGGGGCTGGGTTTCATGGTCCCAGGTACGCAAGCATCTGCTCCTGTAAACCCTGCAGGCCCAGCTCTGAGACCTGTGGGTCATGACATTGCCCAGCTAAAGGCTGGGGGAAACAATTTGTGTTTGCTTTGGAACATTCTGGTAATAAAAGCAGACCCCAAGAAGGGCTGTAATTGGATTGGTGAAATCCACGTTTTGAGTTTACTGAGAACCAAAGAGGGCAAACCAAGGCAGGGTGCCACAGAGCCACCCCCGGCCATGAGGAGGTATGGGGGAGGCAGCCAACTCTGTTACAGTTGCAATGAAATTTCACATATTTCATGAACGATACCTAGGCCTAACTAACCGTAGGACGATGCAGGGCACCTAATAAACGAGGCCTATTTCACCTATTTCCCAATGGAAAGGAGCATGGCCCTCAATATGTCTGATGGGATTGTACTGTGGTGTATGCCTCCTGGTATCTGTAGTGCATTGAGGACTGGGTTAGAGTTGCAAGCTATCACTTTCAGAATGTGGGGAGGGGGGAGGGGTTCCTGGTCCTGCTTGAAGGCTGGGAGCTCTGTAGGGAAGTGTATGAGCACAGGCAGTCTGTAAAGAGCAAGCCTAGAGCAAGGCTGCCTTAGGAAGCAGCCTGCTTTGTCTCTCTCTGGTTTTGGGTACTGTATATTATTGTTCTGAATTCTAAGAAATAAAGTCATGTTACATTGCAACCTTCCAGCCAGAGTACTGCATGATTTAATCTAACATCTCTCTGTCTGGGCTGTGAACATAACTGTATCTGGAAAGGGCTCTGGATTAATTTATAAAGACAAAGCCTATAACCACACAAGGACAAAACTCAGGCACCACAACTGGCTTCAAAGCAAAGTGGGGGAAGAGTCAAACTGAATATCTGACAGTGTTGCTGAATGTGCCCAGAAGGAATTCCTGGCAATTAATAATGGGGCCCAACATTTGCCATTGAAAAGGAAAATGAATCACTTTAAAATATACTTGACAAAAATAGATTTTCATATTTAGATTTAATTCTCTGAGGGAAAGCAGCCAAAGCAATCTGGGAATTGCAGTCTGGAGTCCAGAGTGTGCTGGCAACATGCCAGCTCCCATCTGGTGCTAATTTTAATGGGTCAAATTATTAAATCTTTAATGAGACACTAATCAAACTTGATAAAGATTATAGGCACATGTATGTGATGGCTGAGGCCCTGTGAGACTCTGCAGGACTCTGGCCTCAGATAATTTGTCCTTTGCAGAATTTTTCCCTGTGGCCACATTTTTTGGTAGAGCAGAGCAGAGCTTTATTCCCCACTGAAATCGATGTGGTGTCTTTGCTTCCTCTCTGGAATGTCTCACTTGCAGTCACAGTCAGAGTGCCATGTGGTAGAATTTCCCTAGTTAGGGGCTGATCTGTTCGCACGCAAAGTGCTCACCAAAGGGTCTGCGAGAAATGCAGATTTTCAGGCCCTATATCAGGGAGAAAAAGTCCAGTCCTGAGCTTGACGTGTGTACAGGAGTCGATATTGATTGTGACCATGTGTATTTGATACTTTATGCATTACCTGTAGCCGCAAAAGGCATCATACCAACTCAGAGTTCAAATGTCGATCCGTTTTCACAAGACAGGGATAAAAAGCTTTGCAAACAGTGTGTAAGTACTAACTGCCAAGCAGACATGTTCCTCCCTCTACGGCACCATCTATCTTCAGCCAAATAACTGTAGTGCCCTAACTTTCCCTTCTTGGCCCATGGGCCGCAATAGCACCCACTGCACGCCGCTGTATTTTGTTCACTTGATCTGTGTCAGCTTAGGAGAGGGAGAAGAACCGGAAAGGACTTTGCACATTTGGCTGGTTGTCATGGAGATACTAAGGTTGCCTAATGAATGCTACTGCCCAGCACGCTAGAGCCTCAGCCTCTTTGGGAGTTACTCAGTGGAATCCATTCCATGACACTCGGCTCTGAGCTATGCTGCCGGCTGCTGGGGGCTGTGTTACAGCTTTGTCCAGTCTGAAAGCATCTATTTACACATGCAGTAACCTTCCCTCTAAATGGAAAAACAACATGTGTCTGCTCTGGATGTTTCCTTCCACACGGATTCTGATCTGAGCCTGGCTGGACC